CTGGTGTTTTTGGCTTTATAAATGAATGGTTGTTGTCACATCTCAGAAAGTGAAGCCCCGGGGGTTGCTGGTGCTTCTCCTTCCTCGGGGACGAGGAGATGCGAAGCTCGCCCGGCCTTTGCTGCCTCCCGCTGGCGGAAGTCTGGTTCTGCACCCTGCCTGCCCAGGGGAACCAGGCTGAAACTGTGTTTTGGTCCCAGACTGTAACCATTGAAAGGTATGGAGGACCCCAATGCCGACCTTTGCCCTAGGCCTGAGACTTGAATTCTGATCAGCCGGCTGGCTCTTGCCATGTGAGCCTCAAACTCAGCAGGTCCCCAGCCTCCTTTATCAGTCCTGATGTCTGTGACCAGCCCTTGTCCACCCTGTCCCCCACCCCCAAGACCCTGCAGAGGCTCCACGTCCCATGAGTCACAAGTCCTGCTGAGACCACCGGGGCCCTTGCTCACTCTCATGGGACCCTTGTCATCTCGCCAGTGCAGCCCTCCTCCTCTCTCAGCAGCTATGACGGTGGCCTCCTGACTGCTGGCCTGTCACGGGCTAGTCTTTGTCAATCACGACGGAGGTAATAAAGATACTGATGGAGGTATAACATGCAGAACTAGACGATATAGGTGTGGAGATGGATGTAGATATCAATGATGTAGCTATGGAGAAGTAGGGATACAGATGCACATGATATAGCTGTGGATTTGGATATTGATATGGATGTAAATACAGATACAGATGATGTGGGTGTGGGGAGATATATATATAAATAAATATATATATATATTTTTAAAGATCGTCTGCAGAATAAAGTCCAAACTCTTTGTTTGGCCCACAAAGTGCTTCATATCCCCTCTGCCTGGTCTCTCCAAAACCACCTTATATCCTTTGCATTTTATTCCAACAAAAAGGCAATTGCTCCTCTCCGAAATTGTTCTTATCCATTCTCTAAACACTTAGGGGTTCTTCATAAGTGCCAGACTTTGAGATTGTCACTGGGGTACAGAGAAAAGCAAGACAGTCTCCGCACTCAAGAAGCAGAGTCTCACAGACCATACACACAAGTGCAGCCCAGACGGGGTCTGATGGATGAGGTTGGGCGGGGGGCGGGGGCTACCCTGCTCTACAAAACTGAACGCATCAGTGGCTTATACCAAAACATGTTCATTGTCTCCCAGTGTCCATGGGTTGGGCCGCTGGGCACAGCTTCACTGAATCCTCAACTTGGGGTGTCACAAAGCAGTTTGAGGTTGGGCAGTATTCTCTTCTGGAGCTTGGGAGTTCTCCTCCAAGCTCACCTGATTGTCGGTCCTTGTGGTTGTAGGACTGAGGTCCCACTTACACACTGGCCTAGAAGCCACCATGGTTTCTTGCATTGTAGCCCCTTGAAAACATAGCAGGTCACTCCAAGGCCAGCAGGAGACCCTCTCACTCCATTCTGCTAAGATTGAGTCTTATATGAAGGAACGCAATCACATGCATGTCTGTCTCTTTGCCTTCGCTGCATCACAGAACCTAATTGCGGAGTGACAGCCCATCATCTTTGCCCTCTTCTGTTGCTGGAAGCAAGTCAAAAGTGCCATCTGCACTGAAGGATGGGGATTACGTTGATACAGGGGCGTGACTCATTGGGAGCAACCTTAGGGTATGCCCACCGTACACACTCCTCGTAGAGTCTCCCCAAGGTTTACATACATTCCAGAGAGGGAGTGTAGTGAGAGTCTCAGAGTCTGGCTCCAGTTCTCTCTGAATTAGTCAGCTGTGGAACACCGAGCTATTCCTTCTCCCCCGCCACGGGCTTCAGCTCCACGTTCGATGCCAACTCAAGACAGAGCCACTCCCGCAAGGCTGTGGTTGATGGTGTGCATTGCAGGACCATAAACTTAAAATTTTAGACAATCTCATCCTTAAAACTCCTTCTGCATGTGACCAGGCCATATCCTCTTCTTTATCATTCCCAGCTCTCAAGACCAACTCCCTGCTCTGATTTCTTAATCATTATTGGTGAGAAGTTTATCAGTCCCATGTGTTTAGGGTGACAACATGCACCACACTTGGAGCCATAAGCTATTTCACTAGACAAAGGCTGTCTCACCCTGATGGGGATTGTGGTGTCAGGTGTTAGGACAGTAGTTTTGTTACTACACAGTGTGAGCAAATGATGATAAAATATTATAAAATGATCGAGGGTCATCGTCGGGACGGGGATGGAAATGCATTAGGGCTTCTCTGATTTCAAGGGAGGGACCCCCCAGGGGAGTGTGCATTGAGCAGCTGGGTCAGGAAAAGATCTAGGAGCAAACATGACTGGCACTGCCAGTGCATTCGCGAGCAGAGAAAGGGGATTGTGGGGATGGTGGGCAGGGAAGGGGAGCATCAGAACAGCCCACGGACTCAAAGGGTTTGAGGAAATGCTTTTGTTCAGTACAGCCAGCCTGGGATAGGGAGGCAGTGGGTGAAGCTGTGAGGAGGGAAAGGCCAGGTCATAAAAGGCCTACACCCCTGGCTAAAGGAAGAGATCAAACCAGGTTGTGTGCCCATGAACTTTTGCACCATCCATGTGCACGATGCCTTGGGAGCCATGGGCCAGATCAACATGCATAGCGTTAGGAATACCCTGGGTAAACTGGGACAATCAGTCAACCCTAACTAAGCCTCAGATATCCTTCCAACCCCTTGGCCGCAGCCTCTTCAATGCCTCCCATCCTGTGCTCCCAAAGCATGTGGTGGACACTCTGACTATAACTTCAACTAAACTCTCCTGTGACTGTCCTCTGTTTCCTCCACTGGACTAAGAGGTCCTTGAAAATGAGGCTAGGTTTTATTCATGTTCGCATCCTTAAAGCCAGAACAATGCCCAGGACAAAGGAGCACTAGATATATAGATATTAAATCACAACAGAATGACAGCTAACAATTACTATAAGGCTAACTATCTACCAGGCATACTTCTAAGCACCTGGCCTGGATTTCATTATTGAATGGTTGAGGGGATGGGTATTTTTTTTGGATTCATTTTACAGATGAGGAATCAAGAGGTGGAGAAGTTGTATAGCATACTTTGGCTAAGGTGACACAGTGTGATAGGAAGAAGAGGATTCTAATCTAGGTCTTATCTCCAGCTCCTGTGAATGAAGTGAATGAAACCTTGAGGGACCTAGAGTTTGGACCTGCAGAGTTTTGTGAGATGGACTCAGTTCCCTGATTGTTCCCCAGGGCCTGGCAGATCAGTGGTGGGCCTGTGACTGGGAGAAGCCAACAATTCCCCACCCACTGTAGCCTGTGGTTCTTACAACAGCCGTGACCTCTAGGAAGACTTGTTTTTCCTGTAGGCTTAATGGGGTTCCCAAAGTCACTGAGCTACTGGAGATCGTCACAGGGAGTACCAGAGCCTCCCGTGAGCCCATGACTTTGGACTCCAAACTCTGTGCTGTTTTTACTGACAACACAATTATCTTGATGTTAATAATTCCTTCTGATGAGTTTCTTTGTCTCTGAAATGGGTGTGGTCATCTCTACGGTGATATAATGAGATGACAGCTGTAAAGCGGTGGGTGGTCAGTGCTCAATAAAGGGTGGGCTTTGCTACCTCATAACCTTCGTCGTCATCATCCTCCTTCTTATCATCATCACTGGCAAAAATGATCTAGGGATTCAGGGTAAGCAGATTCCAGGCAGGGGTCAGAGTCATGAATTTAAAGTAAAACAGCCAAACGTGGGAAGGAGTTGAAACTCTTGCATAGGTTCCGAGTCAGGGTTGGAAACACAGAGCTTCCGGTCTGCAGATCAGCAGGTTTGTTGATCAGAAAATGTGATCAGGATCACCAAAGCTTAGAGCCAGTGACTAAGGTCCCCAGCCAAGGCCGGGAGCAGACATTTCCAAACCTTACACCATGAAATAGCTGTCCGTTTGTCAGGACTGTGAGTTCATGAGGACAGGTCCAGCTCATTCATTGCCCAAATCCAGCTCTGTGTCCCCACTGGGTGCCATATATGTATTGAATGAATGAATGAATGAAAGAATGAATGAACGAACAAACAAGTGGGTACCCACATACACAAGCAAGCCAAACAAGCATGGATTGGAACCTAGAAGGGTGAAGAGCCAGATTCCGTAGAGAAGATAGCTTGAGTGTATGGTACCAAGCCTCACTCATGGACCCTAACTTGTAAATTCCATCTTCAACACTCAGGGAACCTGAGGCTGACCATTGAACCAAAGATTCTACCAAGAGGGAAGGAAAGCCCTTTTTCTTTGTTTTGGGAAGGAGAGCCCTTTTCCTTTGTCAAAACAATGAGTCACTCACACATGTGCGACCCCCACCCCCACACACAGAGCTTACAAAGATAAGCCTCAAAGGATTGTTTGCGGTTTGCTCTTGCCTGGGGCAGGCGGGTCCCCTCTGCAGCCTTTCCAAGGGCCAGCGCTCTACATCGTTCAGTGTGGTGGCTGCTATTCCTTCGAGCAGGAAGAATGCTTTGTAATTTTACAAACAATTCTGAAGATTCCCCAATAGAAAAAGGTTATTTCCTTGAGTACCTATTGACTGTAAAACAAAACAAAAACCATACTAAGACGGGTGATAGAGGCCTTCACTGAACTGATCAAGTTTTGTAATGAGTTTGTGTTTCCTTTACCCAAAGAACTTTTTTTATATACTTGAAGATCATAGTCCTATATGCAGGATATATTATGAATTAATTCAAATTCCTGATGATTTATTAAAGTGTGATAACTTTTGGTCTTCGGGGGTCTCTGCAGCCTCTGAGGTTGGGACCAGGTGATCTAGCTCGAATTTCAACTAATCGATTCCACTTACGGATAAAGTAGAAGTACGCATAGCGTCTTACTCCTCCCAGACTTGCTTCTCTAACTGGACTATTAACCCCACCCGCCTTACAGTGTGTTAGGAAGTGTCGGATGCAGGTTCTAGCTTCATCCGCCGTCTGTCACCTTCCCCTGTCCAGCCGGGACTCGACGTTCCTTAGTCTCCTTCTTCTCTCCCTTGCAGGTTCCTGATCGTCCTGGGGTGCCTGATCCTGGCTGTCCTGACCACATTCAAGGAGTACGAGACTGTTTCGGGAGACTGGCTTCTGCTACTGGTGAGATCAAGGACCCTCCATGGTGCTGTGTTTCTGGGGTAGATGCTTCTGTTTGGGCCTCCATGGCAAAGGCAAGGCAGCTGCCCTTGGGTGCGGTTCTGCCCAGTTGGTTTTGGCTCCCTGGACTCTCTGACCAAGTCCAGGCCGGAGAGAAAGCGATGCCGGGGTCAAACGGTCAGGTCTGCTGGGAGCACAGGTGGAGTGAGGAGCGCCATTTCTTATTCCAGACCAGAGAGAAGGTCAGAGCAAAAACCAATACACCTTCATTAAATTCTAAAGCATGACTTCCCAATCTTCTGAAAGTTAGCACAAAGGCATGTTCCATTTGAAGCCCTGCCTTTGCTTTTTCTTCATAAACCCTGAGGGTCTCTTATTCCATTCAAGGCCAAGGGAAAATCCCATTTTGACATAAAGCTTTCAGTCCTCCCATCAGGGCCCCTGAGAGAGGAGGGAGGCAAAGGTTTGGACTTTATGTTCTCCCCTGGGTCGGGGGGAGGGGATGGAGACAGTGTGGCCAGCATTCTCAGCCAGTTACCTGGTGCCCCAGCCCTCGGTTTCCTCACATCCTCCCCTGAAATGCGTGAATGTACCAGGTGAGCAGCGAATGCCGATGGGCTGGCTGCAGCCTCCTGGGCAGCCGGCAGAGAGGCCCCATGAAGGACTGGTTCCTCCTGTGGCCCTGGACAGCACTGGCCCCGGCCCTTTGAAGGACCGCGCTCTTGCTGAAAGGGGAGTCGGCCCACCTCTTCAGGGAAAAGGTGCCAGACCCCTCCCCCTGTTAGGGTTCACAAAACAGCAGGACCTTCGCCTCACACGGATATGCCATCCTTGGCTCCAAAATCAGCAAGTTCCTTCTGAGGGCAGGTGTTTACGACCTGATCCACATGACCTGAGCTGAGACCTGAGCGGGCGAATCCCGTTCCCAGGAACTAGGCTTCTGGGATCGTTGTGGAGCAGCAACTCCCCAGGGTCCCAGGGAGACCACCAAGACAGAGAGGGGCAAAGGTGTCCTGCCTGACCAACAGAGGAGGTGCGGGGGTCGGGGGGCGGCGCCGACCCAGTGTCCCAGGAGGCAGCCTGGTGCTTATGCGTTGGACTCTGTACTGCGGTCCCAGCCTGGGGTTCTTTCTTTGCCACTTGGTAGCCTCGAGAAATTTGTTGAACCATTCCTTGCCTTGGTTCCTCAAAACATAAAATGAAGGTAATATTATAAAACACTCTGTCCGGGTGCGGCCTGGCCCAGGAACTGTGCTCAGTCACATTGGCCACCATTAGCAATACTGGGGGCCAGGCACTGGGCGGGATTAGTAGGTGGTTTCATTGAAACCTCTTTTCAACCCAAGCACTTCTTAGGGTCATTTAATACATTGGAGGGATTTTTTTTAAATGGTCCATTGGAACAGGAATAGAGGTGAAAGAACAAGCAATCACTTTGCAAGCCTGAGTGTCACGAGCTTGGCACGAGGACGGGAGCTGACCCCACTGGGTGGAGGGCACTGCTCTCTCCCTTCCCCCAGCAGAGCAGGGACCCCAGCAGAAGCCACTGGGTCCCGGCGCCTGGGGCCCAGTTAATCTGCGTCTCTTCCTGTGCCTTCAACACAGGAAACATTCGCGATTTTCATCTTCGGAGCCGAGTTTGCTTTGAGGATCTGGGCTGCAGGATGCTGCTGCCGATACAAAGGCTGGCGGGGGCGGCTGAAGTTTGCCAGGAAGCCCCTGTGCATGTTGGGTAAGCCCCACACCCGAGTCCGGGGCCCGAGTCCCTCTCTGATGGTGCCTTTTTTCTCGGGGGACATTTTCAGCAGACTCTCTGCTTCTGGGAACTCATGGGGCTCTGCGGGGCCAGGCCAGCCCGTCCCCACACTGCCGCGAGCTCCCCTCTTCCGGTGGCTGAAGCCCCCTTCTCTGCCTGCTCCTTACAATGACTGCACTGAGCAGTGATTCTTCATGGGGCAGGGGTGCCCTTGGCATCTGGCTGTGGAAAAGCCAGCCTGTTGCAGTATGTTGAGCATCGTGGTCCCTACTAGACAAGCAGCACGCCGGTCTTTGTGGCAGCCCCATTGCCCATGCATGTCCAGACCGGCTGCAGTGGGCGCGACAGGCGCGACACCATAGTGGGTTGAGAATTGTCTCTATAGGACTGCGTTATGCCCATTTTCCAGAGGTGGAAACTGAGGCTCACAGAGCTGAGTCAGGTAGCAGGCACACAGGTAGGAAGTAGCATATTCCATCCTAACACCCAGGTCTGGGTGAACCTGGCCCCCTGCCCTCCCCTGCCACCATGCTGCTGTGTCCGGACTCAAAAGTTGCTTTGAGAAGGTGTCGCTGAGCCCCTTCATTCGGGTGCAGGCATTCTGCTGGCAGGGAAGGGGGAAACGCTCACTCACGCCTATTGGTATCACATGGACCCATATGTTCCCAGCTGAAGACCTTACTAAAATCATAGAGTGACTTGGCAGAATCTGCTGCAGAGATGGTTAGGGGACTTAGAGCATTAAATCCCAGGGATCGCTAACAATGCAGGGCAATAGAACGTCAGGGCTGGAAGGACCCTGCAAAGGCTTTTAGTCCAACAAGCCTTCCTGACTGATACTCCAGTCCCCTTTGCCACAGCCTGTAGCTGGTCACGCAGACTGCTTGCATACCTCTAACGATGGGGTGCTCACTATCTCTCAAGGTATTTACTTCATCTAACTCCTCAAGTATTTGAGTTCAGCCATTCTGGCCTCCTCTCCATTCCAGCAGATCCTCTTTTTATCGGGAAAACGTGCTGAATGGCTCCAACTACACCTTATATCCCCCATTCCCACCTCTGTCACAGCAGAATCATCCTGTTTACCCCATGTGGTTGATGTCACGATTTAACACGACAGTGCTTGCCATCCTCTCGTGTGCTGGCAGACAGGGCCTGTGATGGCTCCACCGTAGCCCCGCACAGCTCTGGTCACTGGCCCTTTGTCCTCTTTCCCAGACATCTTCGTGCTGATTGCCTCTGTGCCCGTGGTCGCCGTGGGCAACCAGGGCAATGTCCTGGCCACGTCCCTGCGGAGCCTGCGCTTCCTGCAGATCCTGCGCATGCTGCGGATGGACCGGAGGGGCGGCACCTGGAAGCTCCTGGGCTCGGCCATCTGTGCCCACAGCAAAGTAGGTGCCACAGAGAGGCCACAAGCCCACGTGGGCTTCTCACCTCCTGTGCCTTTTCCACGGCGTCTCCTCCAGCACAGTGTCCCCAGAGCGGGGTCATTCGGCCACACTGACAGTGGCGACAAGGAGGAGCAGGGAAGGGGGAGGGGCATAAGCGGCGTGCTGCGGCGGGCGGAAGCAGGTAGGCCTGGACTCCTGTGTCAGCTCCACCAGACACAGACGACCTGCCACGTGACCCCGTTTGACCTGCAGTGTCCTCCTTTCTAAAATAGGGAGCATAATGCCTCTCCCTCTGAGATGCTGAGAGGATAAAATGAGCTAACGCAAGGTACCGTGGGATGGGAGGAGAAAATTCCAGAATTATGCAGGCTGGTGTGAATCCAAACCCCGCTGGTGTGACCTTGGAGATTTTCTGTAACCTCTCCGGGACTTGGTTCCTACATTTGTGAAGTGAGAATAATAGCGCACTCGCCTCTGGTGAAAAGCACTCAGCCCATGCCCAGGTCGTGGAGATGGTGCCCTTGCTGTGGGTCAGTGCCTAGAACGCAGGTTAGCTCACCCCAGGAGCCATGCATGATTGTTTCCTCATTACGCTGATAAGAAAGCAGGGGCAGAAGGAGGAAGACACCTGCCCAAGGTCAGGCACTCCAGGCCGTCCTGCTCCAGAGCTCACGTTCAATGGTTTGCTGCTGGTCACTGTGGCGCTCACCTCTCCAAGGAACCTCAGGAGCTAGGATGGTGGGACTCAGTCTGATCCCCTCCCTGCATCCCATGTACTTGAGCAGGTGTGGAAACTGAGGCAGGCAGAGTCCTGTACCTGGAGCTGTGGCACTCCCTGATAGCCCAAACCTTAGGTACCACTTGGATTTAATGCCCCTGCCTCAGCTGGGCCCTGGAAGGTGACGGGGAACCCCGTGCCCCAGCTCGGGCGGGAAAACCCTTCTGAGGCCAGTGTGGAGAAATCAGAGCAAAGGACCTTGGGGTGGGAGGGTGGTGTGGTTCGGGGAAACTCAGAGCTGATAAGTGGTCACTGCCCATGTGACACAGAATGAGAGTTGTAAGGACAGGAGAGACCAGGCTCTGCTCCCAGAACGAAGAAGCCCTGGTGTCTCCACAACTGAGCACAACAGTGTTGACATCTTCTTGCACACGCAGTGTCTGATGCGGGCTGGGCGGCCCCTGTCAGTCTTGAACATGAGCCTGGAGTCACTGAGCCCAGGGAAGAGGGGCCTAGAGCATCCTGCAGGATGGACTTTGTGCCCATCACTCCCCACAGTGGCTAGACCCCAGTCCCTAGCCGCGACCTGACTGTAGGGGGCTCGGGCACGTGCCGGACACCAGGCACCAGCCACAGACTCGGCCACAGAGCTGCTGGTGAAAATCATGTAAAGGCAGAATTACCCCGAATAGCCTTTTAAAGACTGCAAAGCACAGAATTGAGACCCATTTTCCCTCCCCATCAATGACCATTAAACCACCTCTTAATAACTCAACGCAGCCAGTTTTCCTGCCCTTATCATGTTTCTTTGTAAGTTAAGCACGAGATGAAACTTCTGACTCACATGTGGGGTCAGGAGGTATGAAAACACAGAAACGTTAGAACCACGTGCAACGAGGCTGGCGGCTCCTGCTCGGACATGAGCATGGGGAGGGATGATCCAATCCATGCCTTCCTTCTCGAACCCTCTGCAGGGCAGACACTGGACGAGGAGAATGGCTGGCTGGATTGCACGCGCCATCTACACCAACTTGTCTCTGCTGTGGAGTGAGCTCACACGCATGCACTGTGCATGGGAGGCCCGGGGGAAGCGAGACCTGACAGCACCCAAGTGCAATGAAGTGTTAGACATTTAGAGAAGCCTGCTTGGAAAATAGCAAAGGCATGAAGGAGCTGGGGATAAACCCTACCTCTAGCTGGGGGAGCAAACATCCGAGGAAATTTCATGATGGAGGTGCCATGAGTCTGAAGATGGCACGATGATGCCCTGATTGGTCCCTTGGGGAAGGGTAGTTCAGGCAGCGAGACCAATAGCAGCAAAGGCACCAAGGGAGGCAACCTGTCAGCGAGATCCCAGTGACCCAGAAGGCCAGCTGACGGGCCGCCGACGGTCAGACAGATGATGTATATTGGTATGAACAACTTTGTTCTCTGGCGACTCAACAGGACTGACAGGCTTAACCTCCACATCATGTGTGCCAATAATGTTGACTTGCTGGCCACCCAAGCCACCGTGCTAAGCCTTGACCTTGAGACAGAATGAGAGAAATGGCCTTCGAGATTGTCATGGTCAGGTGTCTGAAACCCCAGTGATGCCATCTTTGCCATACCTTTGCGCCACCCTTATTGTGCCTGAATGTTTGTTTGTTTTTTGTTTGTTTGTTTTTTGCAGCCAGCTTTCTCTTGTTTACTTACTCCTATGTCCTGGTCTATCATGTGATAATACACATGGCATAATAGGTTTTATATGTTTTTATGCTCATTTTTAATATGGTTTCCGAGCAATAGGTGACTAACAAAAAAAACTCGGCATTCCATCAGCAATACACGTGTCACTTTCTGGAACTCTGTGGTCCAGTCTTTTGTTTTAATAATGAGGAAACTTCTCTGGCTGATAGCTCAGTGGATTGAGCGCCAGCCTGAGAACCGAAGGGTCACTGGTTCAATTCCCAGTCAGGGCACATGACTGGGTTGCGGGCCAGATTCCCAGTGCGGGGCGTGCGAGAGGCAATCACATATTAATGTTTCTCTCCCTCTCTTTCTCTTTCCCTTCCCCTCTCTCTAAAAATAAATAAATAAAATCTTTTTAAAAAATTAAAAAATAAAAATGAGGAAACTGAGGCTGGGGAAGAGGGGTCCTTTGCCCAGGGTCATGCAGTCACTTGGTGGCCGGCTGGGGCCCTGCCCACAGCTCTGTCCTGTCCACTGGACCACGGTTGCTCCCACGCTAGCTCCCCCTTATGGTTGGTTTCCCAGTAGAACCAAGCTTGATTCTGGCCGGCCCTGCACAGACACGAGTCTCCCGGCTTGTGAGCCTTGTCTCCGAGGCAGCAGCCAGGCCCTCGCGCCCCCCACTAAAGCCTCTTGAGCTGTGGTAGCAGGCTCCCCGCAGGAGGAAATTTCCTCTCCTCCTGCAGCCCTGCATCCATTGTGTGGATGGTGCAAAGAGTGGCCATGTGACTGACCCCATTTTACAGTGATGGCCGGTGAGGGCCGGAGAAGGCGAGTCACTTGCCCACGGTCACAGAGCTGGTAAAGCTGGGTTGGGTAGACAACCAACCCCAGCGTGTCTGCCTCCCGCGTCCACCCCACGGCCCCCCGTGAGCCCTCCTCTTGTCCTCTGCTTGCTCCCCCAGGAGCTCATCACCGCCTGGTACATCGGCTTCCTGACACTCATCCTTTCTTCATTTCTTGTCTACCTGGTCGAGAAAGATGTGCCGGAGGTGGATGCACAAGGAGGAGAGATGAAGGAGGAGTTTGAGACCTATGCAGATGCCCTTTGGTGGGGCCTGGTGAGTAAAAGTCCCTTCCACGTCCACCCCCCCACCCCCACCAAGTGGTTGACTGTTACAACAGAGAGAGGTGGGGGTGGGCCTGGGCGGCTGCATTCTGCAGTCATGGGGAGAGTGGACCTCCTCCATGGCCCACCCTGCCTGTGGGAGACGTCGCCCACCGTCTGTGCACGTTGAGTAAACAGGCTTTCCATAGTGTTTATGAGGAGTCAGAGCTCAGAATATCTGGTCCTATGGACAATTGGGACCTCTCCTCATTAGCTGTAGGCTGTGAGCAGCCATGCATGTACAGACACAATGACACACACACACACACACACACACACACACACACACACACGACCCCAACCTTCAAACACACCTAGAGACGCACAGCCCCACAGCCGCAGGGACATGGGGTACCAAGCGTAGCACCCACTGAAGGCTTTCTCAGCTCCAGAGCCTGGCTCTGAGCACTTTACCTTTTTTAACATATTTAAACTCAAACAACTATTATTAGATCTTTTTTAAAAATGGGGAAACCAAGGCGTGAAGCAATTAAGTAATTCATCCAAGGAAGACCACTGAGCCAGTTAGCTGCCCCGGGATTGGAACTGAAGCAGTTGCGCTACACACTCCTGTCTGAGAGCCTGCCTTCTGTGTTCCGAAGTGCGTGCACATGGATAACCCACACATGTAAACACACACAAGAATACACAGCAGATATTAGACATGCCCACACATGCACACAATATACGTAAATGCACTCACAAGCACACATGGCCACACAGATCATGCACACAAATATGTGTATACGTGCACAAACACGTCTGCAGTTGCTAAAATGTGTGCAGAGTGACTGACTATAGGTAGGAAACCCTAACTCAGACACAGACCTCAGGGCCCGCACGGAAGTTCCTCGATCCTTCGCAGCTTTTCTCCTGCAGGGATCTAGTTCTCAGCGGTCACAGCGCCCGCCCTCCCGGCTCAGTACAGAGCCAATGGCTGGACCTAGTGGGCGCGTCCCTGGTTTCCCTCTGCCTGGGGAGCCCCCGCCTGAGCCGTTGTCTCTTCAGATCACACTGGCCACCATTGGCTACGGAGACAAGACACCCAAGACCTGGGAAGGCCGCCTGATTGCAGCCACCTTCTCCTTAATTGGCGTCTCCTTTTTTGCCCTTCCAGCGGTGAGTATCTTCAATGTTGACCCTAGTGTGACACACAGGACCCCTCCTCTCCTGGGCCCAGCTCCGCCTTCCAGCCTCATCTTCCACCCTGTCATGCCCTGAGTTCCAGCTCTGTCCACGCGCTGGCCATCCACTAGCTCAGTGTCCCGCCTGTCTGCCATGGGCTGTGCCAGTCCCTTTGCCGGGACTGATTCTTCCAAACATCTCCTCCAAGACCCAGTTTCAACGCTGCCTTCTTCTGTAGACCGGTTACTCGTTCCCTCCTCTGGGCAGGACCCTGGAAAGGCGTCTCGACCCTGTGCTGGGACTGCTGCGTTCCATGCCTGCCTCCCCGGGAGGCCCAGCAGCTTGGGGGCTGGAATGATGCCTTTCACCCACCTATGTCGTTTTTTTTAATTAAAAAAAAGTTTTCAGTTATAGTCAACCTACATCATTGCATTAGTTTCAGGTGGACAACATGATGATTAGACATTCAAGGAATCACCCCGCTAAGCCTCGTACCCCTGTGACAGCATGCATAGCTATTACAGCTTGTGTCTGTTGCACATTGTAGATCCTTTGTATACAGGAGCTCCCTTCCCCTGCCTGGTCCTCTGCTTGTTTATGTTAAAAAATGCATTTCCTTCAAATGCGAGCCTTGACTCCTGATAGGATAATTTCCCCAAGCCCAGGGCCTATAAGTGTGATATTAACATAATAATAGATGGCACAGCTGAACTTACTGTGTGCTGGAATCATGCCAAATACTTTCCCTTATACCATCTCATTTAATCTCCCTGACAATGTTAGGAGGTTGGCGCGGTACTTACCTCCATTTCCCAGGGGAGAAACCCGAGGTTTCGCTGGTCAGTAGGGTTTCCGCAGGTGCGAGGCTACCGGGTCGTGGACCAGGCCTCCCAGGTCTGGCCGTTCCGTAGCCTGGCTCTTCATCTCGAAGGGTTAGAAGAGCCTTCTGACCTAACAGTTTCTTCTACCCCCTTCACCTCCCATGCTGAGGTTGGGGGCGCTCCTTCTCCATTGCAGCCCTCCCTTGGGCTGCTCGACCTTGGGCTTGTGACCTTTCTGAACCTGATTCCTCTTCCGTCCCGGCGACAGGCTGTGGGAGTGAGACTCAGTTCTCTCTCAGGTTGAAAAGGATGCGCTCTCAGCCATGTGATCCCCCTGTGGGTCTGACCTGGAAATCAAAACCTCACACTTCTGGGGAAGTCCAGCTCTAGCAAAAGCCTCGGGTGATGATTCCAGTGGTTAAAGTGTTTTTAAACTCCACTTGCGTTTACTGGACATGGATTCTGCATCAGGCCCCTCCCTGGGCAGCTCCTGAACACCATCTCCCTTGCCCCTCAGCACGGTTGTGAGGGAGGTACTGCCCTGCACTCCCCTGCGCCAGAAACGGAGCTGCGGCACAGAGGAGGCTTGGTCCGGGTCTCACGTGGCAGATGGTGGCCAGAGCAAAGGGCCACTGGAGTGTCCGAGTCAGGCCTTCCTGACGTCAAGGCTCCACTTCACCCAGCAGCCCAGTCCCTGCAAGGGAAGGAGGAGTCCTTCCCTCCTCCCCATCACTCAGCGTTGTCACCATGGGCCTGGGTGTGGGTATGGGGCCCTGGCCCGGAGGGTCTGCTGGGGCTGACTGGGAGCTGACTTCTCCATCCAGGGCATCCTGGGCTCTGGGCTGGCCCTCAAGGTGCAGGAGCAGCACCGGCAGAAGCACTTTGAGAAAAGGAGGAAGCCAGCGGCTGAGCTCATTCAGGTCTGTGTCCGTCGGCCTGGGGGGTGAACTGGATGGAGTTAGATCTGTGGTGTGTATGTGTGTGGTGCATGCATGCCTGTAGGCATGTGCATGTCTACATGTGGGACTGACCTGTGTGTGTATGTGCCTATGCATGTGTATCTGTGTATGCAGGAGAGGGCATGCCCATGAACTGGGACAGGTCACAGAACCACATGTGCTTGAGGGTGATTGTGGGTGTTTCTGTAGTTCTCTTTGTGGCCTGTCTCTGGCGGATGCTTCATGACAATCCTATCCCTCTTCCATTCAGAGTCTAAGCCAGTCAGGAAATAGACTCAACTCAGATAGACATCAACCCATCTGTTATGTTACATTTTAGGGTGCAATGAAGAATTTGAGTTTTCTGTTCCCCACCTCGGTCTTGACCTGGGGACCCGCAAGGAAGAGTCAGCCTAGTAGAGTCCGGGAGCCTAGCCAGTCACTGCTGAGGAGCTGGGGCCCCACCCATCTGCCAAGGCTAGCGAGCTCATAAGCAAGACGGGCAGAGGTGCCTTACACGTGCACGATACTGAATAATTCACCCATGAGCCCTGCTGCGTGCCAGCCAGCTCTCCGTCTCCATCACCCCCCGCCCCGCCATGGGCTGGGGGTTGGGGACAGCAGTGAGAGGTGGTGACCAAGGCAGAGGTGGTCCCTCATTCATGTCTGCATGAGTACCCCCTCGCGAACCTGTGCCCAGTTGTAGCAAGTGTCTCTGTGGGTCTGATCCTAGGGGGTGCATGTTGTAACCCTACACACTGCCATTTCCAGGCCAGCTCCAGTCACCAAGAGTCTGTCCCCGTATCGCCCAAACCCCAAACCATCCCAGTGTCCCGGTGATGCCGATATGCTAGAATCAAAACCCCATCTCTGTCTGTCCCTCGCACCCAGAAGCGGCACAACAGACAATATTTGTCTTCCTACCCGTCTGAGTGGCTCGAGGAACCTGCACAAGAGTAGTCCCTGCCCCCTCAGGGATTGTGTACCCAGCACCCCTCTCTCCCTCCACTGCCAACTCACCCCTGCAGCCCCCGTGGCAGCTTCAAGAGGAGGGGGCCAAGGGAGCGTGTCTCCCCGGAGGAGCTGCAGAAAGCCAGGCCCCAGCCTCTCTGGGGGTGGCCAGGTCCTGCTTCTCCCCGGCATCTAAACCCTTAGGAGTCAAGGGCCCACCCAGTGTCCTACAGTAGTGGGACTCTGTGGGGAAGTTTTGGGTGACACCGGGTCCCTCCTTTCTCCCCTCCACCAGGCTGCCTGGAGGTACTATGCTACCAACCCCAACAGGATTGACCTCGTGGCAACGTGGAGGTTCTACGAGTCTGTCGTCTCTTTTCCATTCTTCAGGCAAGTGGAGACCCCCCTGGACACTCGGGGCGTGACCGACCACCCCCCTGTGGGTCTGCGTTGGTATCTCTGGCTGCACAGCAGAATCCCCGGGGAGCTTAACCACAGAATCCCCGTGCCCAGACCACACTCCAGGGCGACTAATCAGAACGCCAGGCGAGGGACTCTGCAGCAATATATTTTTTTTAAAAACCAGATGGCACCGGGTGTTACCCTGGGTTACCAGATGGTTGATGTGGACTGACAGATAAGGGGAGGTCCAATCAATGTTTGAGAGGAAGAGTGGCTGAGGAAGGGGGGAGCTGGTGTGAGGGGCCACCCTAGCGATTCTGAGCTCCCCTCCTCCCTATACAACCTGCGCCTGCTGCCGCACGGCACACTGGGAACGGCCGGGTGGGACAAGGCGCATGAGGAGCCCTCTGGTGACCCAGAAATGCCCTTTTGTGTTCTCAGAAGGGGGAGGTGAGAGAGGAAGGGGAAAAATAAAGGCCTCTTTGCATGACCAAGCACCTATAAAAGCGCGAGAGAAACGGACATTATTAGGTGTCCAGGATGTTCCAGGCCTCCGAGTTCCCATGTCATTTAATCCTCACAGGCACCTGTGAAGTAAGTCAGAGGTTCTCAGATGTGAGGTGTGCTAGCTTGTAAGTGAGAGGCTGTGCGAATGCAGGTGCTATCGGCATGAGTCCAACATGGTGGCCCAGGGTGCGCGCTTGGAGACAGGCCGCATGGGAGGTGCCACCTGACGCTTGTGACAGATGAGGGAGCTGGGGCTCAGAAGCTTTGGACATCCCGGACAATGTCAGGCACGCCCAGAGGCCCCCAAGCCCACGGTTTCTCACTACTTAGGCCACTAAGCAGACAGACCATTCCTTCCCAGGTCTTAGATAACTGCAGTCCTGAGCTCAGGTGTGCACCGTGTGGACAGTGTGCAGGGCGGCTTAGATTCTTGAGTTTGGAGGAAAAGTAGAGGCACTGTCAGCTTCATAGCTGGAGCTGGGACCTGCTCTGCAGTGCGTTTCTGCCGTGCGTCTTTGGTGTCTTGGACCATCGCGTGAACTAGTACTAGGCAGGTGGCTCCCTCCATTCTCATCCCGCCCTCCCACATACTCATTACAGAACCTGAGAACAGTGGCTGGACTTGACCTCAGTCACCCCGATACCCCCATCACACGGCTGTGGTCAACATTTAAGGAAACCCAAGAGATCTGGATTCTGTTGACTCATTTCCCTGCATATCCTTCCGGTGGATGACCATGACAAAGAGGAAGAGATTCCAATCCTGACCAAGACCTACCTGGCCTGAAAGGTCAAGCCCCAGCGTACACCCCCCACCTCCCCGTCCATCACTCTGTCACCCCCCAGAAGTTCCAGTGACATGGACTCTTTGTATTTGAGCATCCAGCCAACCAATATACTTGAGCCCCTTGTATATGCTAAGCACTGGGCCAGACCATGGAAGGTCCCAGGTGACTTGTGAAAGAGTCTAACCTTGATGCTGAAGCCATGAGACCACAGAATGACATGATCCGATCTGTGGTTCAGGAAGGTGACGGGGAGGAGTGTGGGGATGGATTGGACAGGCTGGAGACCCTAGGCAAGGAGGCAGCTAGCAAGTGATCGCAGGATTCAGGGTAAGAGGAAAGAAGGACTTAAACCAAAGGAAAAGCAGTAGGAAGGGGGTAGAGAGAGGACCTGAAAAGGAATAAGCAAAGGGGGAACATAACTCAGGGAGCAATGACATGTAAGAGTTAAGAAGATGGGGAGAAACAAGGTTTCAGTAAATGAGTAATAAAGTCTGGATTGACTGGCTGTGCCTTCTTACTTGTAATTAGACTTACTTGTTCAGAAAAATAATCTCTGCGGTTCCTTTTGATTCTAAAATTCTGTCATTGCTATAATTGTTTCAGGTTTGGCATAGAATCAGTTTTCTTTTGGACAGCAAGAGTCTTCTTAGGATGGCAGGTGGCTTCCCCTTAAGAGAACAGAGTGACCTTGAACTCCAAAACAACATGTGCAACCCCATTGAACACAGAACCAAGACGATTTCCATTTGCTGTGCATCCCAAGGTCTTGGCAATAGGCCCGTTCTTTGGGGTTGACTTATTATAAACAAGGCATTGTCCTGGCTGTCAGATTTGGAGGGATGCAGTGCGCTGCAGACAGCTGCTGTGATGCGGGGACGTCTGGGAAGCTAAGAGAGAACACTTCTTTCTTTCTTTCTTTTTCAAGGACAAAAGGATGAAGTCACTAGAGAAATTCACTTAGCAACCGTTCTCAAACAAGGCAGGCCCTTCGAAAAGAGGGCCCCTAGATTCCAGCTCACTCCACATGTGCAGTGGCACAGAAATTGTTGATAATACACGGCTGCGTCCTGCTTCCCACAGTTTTTTGTTTTTATTTTTTTAAATAACAACTTTTTTGAGATATATTTCACATACCACAAGAGTCACTTTATAAAGTGGACAATTCGGTGGCTTATAGTGTATTCACATATCCATACAGCAGTTACTCCTGGATCCCCTTCCCCCAGCCCCTGCAACCACTAATCAATTTTCTGTCTCTTCTGCCTGTCCTGAATATTTCATACACAAATGAAACCACACTATATGTGTCCTTTTATGTATGGTATATTTCACTTAGTGTGATGTTTTCAAGTCTTACTCATGTTGTCATGTGTATCAGACCTTTGTTCCTTTTTATGGCCGAATAATATTCCATTTTATATGCTCCATTTGTTTATCCATGTATGAGTTGATGGACATTCGGGTTGGATACACCTCTGGCTATGATGCTGCCTTGAGCAGTTGGGTGCATGTTGTGTTGACATATGTTTGCAGTGCTCTTGGGTATACCTGAGAGTGAACTTGGTTACTCTATGTTTAACTGTGAGAAACGTCCAGACTCTCTTCCCCGGTGGCCGCACCATTTTGCATTCCTCCCCAAGATTTCGAGTATTGGAGTTGTATTGCCCATATCTAGGAGTGGTGCCATATCAAAGTTTTGGGGCTGGAGGTGATGGGCGATGTTGACCCCCTTTTATTTTTCTTTTCTTACAATTTAAAAGTACAAACTCATTGTTTTTGAGTTGCAGACAAGCTCAGAAAGTTTCAAGTCCAAATCCAATTTTATATGAGAAGAAACTGAGGTCCCCTGAAGTTCAAGGACTTGTTCAAGGCCACGCATTCTGTTGGGCATAGCTGAGACCAAACCCAAGTCTTCTGATCTGCTGACCCGTGGAGACTGGGTGGACTCGGTGCAGTTAGGTGGTAGAAGTCTGAGAAGGTACAGGAAGACACTGGTGGATGAGAGATGGACCCTAACCCTTTATGCAAGCAGAGATGAGTGCAGATGTTAAAAACCAGATGTTGCTTTCCATCAGCAGAAGGTCGGTTCTCTAAAAATGGTGGTAGAACTACCTACAGCTGGCTGTTCAGTGTGGTAACCCCTTAGCCACATGGGGCTGTTGAGCATCTGACTTACTGGTGCAACTGAGGAGCTGAATTTTTAATTTTACTTCATTTTGATCCTAGCATCCATTTGTGACTCGCGGCTACCAGATTGGAAAGCATTAGCTCTGGAATCATTCAGTATTGGAACTAAACTGGAGGAGGCATGGGAAGTGGTGCCCCTAATTCTTTAAAACTGCTCCTCAGCCCTTCCACCCCTATCTTCCCCCAGCCTGCCACCTCACCCTTTCCTTCTCTACTTCTCCTGGAGTCAGAGACCCAGAGAATTCTAGAACATCAGAGTGTTTTCTGACCACATGCTTCAGGAGAGGAAACGGGCCAGAGGCTGTGCGACCAGCCCAAGGCCACAGTAGAACTGGGTGTTGAGCTGACCCTTGAGCTAGAAATTCCTAACTCTCCATCTGGTCCCTTTACTCCACTACCATGATGACTCTCTTCTCCCCACGCACACCCCCTCACCCCCTTCCACCACCCCGCCACCTAGATCCCAGTGATAGGCCGATTATTCATTCAGTTTTTATTGTGCCTTTACCCCGTGTCAGGTATGGGATGCTTAGATTTTAGGGCTAAATAGCAGAGGCTCTGTCCACAAAGTAGTTCATGGACTACCACATAATTATAACACCATGTGACTAGAGTACAGTCTCCCATGGGAAGATATTAGCTCTGTGTAGACCCTGGGGAGTTAAATAAGAAATGCAAAAAAGGGACCCTTTCAGCTGGAACTCGATGGATAAGCACAGCGACCCCAGGCAGGGAAAAACGGCAGGGAATTTTGGGATTAGCACATGCAGCCTCGTGGTTAGCAGCAAAGGCTCAGGAGCCAGGTTGCTTGGGTTTGAGCCCTGATTCCGCTGCTTCTTAACTGGGAGACCTCGAGCAATTCCCTTAACCTCTCTGTGCCTCGGTTTTCTCATCAGGAAAATGGGGATGTTAATAATACTTGATAGTGTTGTTATGAGGATTAAATGAGTTGATCCATAAAAAGCACTTAAAATAGCACCTGCCTGTTAGTGATTGCTCAGTAATATTTGCGAGGATGATGTCAACTGATGTCCATGGTGGTGACAGCGTAATGGGTGTGTAGCTGCTAAATGATGAAGTTCCTGGTTTCCTGCCCTGTCCCCATTGCTAAACAAATCCCTGGAGCCCAGCACAAGGCCCGGGGCAGAGAAGGTGCTCGGCAACTGTTTTCTGGATGAATGAGTGAGTGAAGGTCTGGGAACCTCGGAGCGCAGAGCAGCGGGGACCTGGGGTCCAGCAGGGGAAGCCCCTGTCATTCATTGGTCCCCTCCAGGCCTCCATCTTGTCCTTGAGTTCCACTCTCTTTCTCTATCTTCATCAAAGGGAAGCTTCAGGGCAACATTGGGGGAGAGGGTTCCACGTTATCGATGCTTTATTTTCTCTCTCCTCCTCTCCTTGTAGGAAAGAACATATGGAGTCCGCAGCCAGGTATGTTTCTGATTATGAATTTCTTTTTCCCACCACTGTGTCGGGAGCGAGGGTCCAGTTCCATATGGTGGAGGGCCCTGGGCGGCCATGCTGGTCACATGCAGGGTTTTGGGACCACTCTTCCCTGTGCCCACCTCATATTAATTCACTCAAAGACACCTTAGTAGTGATCACAGCAACAGGCACCCCCTGAGTTTCCCTTTGGGTCTGGGTTCTGTGCCTGGAGTCCTGCACATGTTATCTCATTGGGTCCTCCCAACCACAATGTATCCTCCTCTCCACATTGTTGGATTGAAGAGAGCAGGGCTCAGAGAGGTTGAGTTCTCCCTCTGGGTCACCCAGCTCACTGGGTGGCAAAACCAACATTCAAATTAAGACCATGCTATTTCATTGTATATTACTCCATTTGCTTCTTGGGCTTACAGATTGTTTTTTAAAACGTGAGTCAGGACTATATGATCCTCACCACTGCAGAAGTTTCCCCAGTCAAGCACACTCGCTATTAGGCAGAGCTTCTGGGTTCTGAGCGTTTCTCTGTCCCTCCCTCTCTGTCCTTCTCAAGAAGATGCCCCAGTATGAGGGAGACTGGACCCTGCTTCAGATTATATAAAGAAAGGCCATCTCTAGCAAACATCCATTTAATCTATGTATTTGTAACCTATTATTGGGGATAAACTGCTCAGGGACCTTGCAAAGAGTCTCCTAGACATTAAGCTTAACTGCTGTCCTTCTAGATCTGATGGGATTTGGACAGAGGAGGTAGCAGGGCCCTGGACCAACCTGTAGGGGAGCCGCTTGAGGACAGCGGTCTTTGGGAAACTGGGTCAGGCCCTTTCGAATGGGCCCGTGGTGCCGCACCCTCTCCGTAATCCCACCTTGAAGAAAGTTACAGGCCGCGCTGGCTAACTTCCAACGCAGAACCACAGTTCAGCCTTCTGCCTTCTTTGCTCCTGTTTCAAACAGATGAGCGTGTCTTTCCTGGATGCTGTTTGGATGTGGGGGCCTCAGTGGGGACTGTAGAGGGCACTGGAGGAGTGACCACGGCTCTATCATGGGACATCTGCTAGCAGCGGTGCCAGCCTTTTGGTGTCCCTGGGACACACTGGAAGAAAAAGAGTTGTCTTGGACCACACATTAAATACATTATGACATGTAATCACACACAAAAAAATCTCGTAATATTTTAAGTCAATTTATGATTGTGTGTTGGGTCACATTCATAGCCATCCTGGGCCACAGGCGGCCCATGGGTCACAGGCTGGACACCCCCGCCGGTGCCTGCAGCGGCTCATGGCTCGCTGAGGCAGAGCGGGAGGATGCCTCAGAGACCCTCTTCCGGGTGCTTTTACAGAAAGCGAGGCACCCCCCACCCCAGGAGGGCAGGCTCACCCCAAGTTACAGAGCCCATCAGCCCCAGGAGCCACACAGCCCAGGTCTCAGGCCCCCAGCGGGTGCTCTTCCACGTCCTTCTCTCGTGACCAGCAGGGTTTTAAACCACACAGGTGTGGATACTGCCAAGTACTAAATCTACCTTTAGAGCCTTTTCTATACAGACAGGGATAAAAGTCAGTCAACCTGGACCATGCACGCAGAGCATCAGCGTGCACGGGGTTAATGAAGCCCCAGATGGAGGCACTGTGAGGCTTGCTGAAAACATGCGCATGTGGGTGGATGGAGGCATGCGTGCACGGACAAACTTCATTCCCCTGGTGTCATACACCCAGCTGAACCTGGCTTAGACCAGGAGGAATGCGTAATGGCTCGAGGGCCACCTGTCAGACACAATGGGAGCCCCTGGGAAGTCAGGAATTGGACCTTCTGGGATTTCTCTCTTCTCTTGTCTCTCCTTCTCTTTTTGGCCTCACTCTTTCAGCTGACTTTCACCGTCCTGATGAAGTCTGGATGCAGGCAGCCCCAGGATGCAGGCAGGGTACATTTTCCCCTTTGACTCCACCCAGCTCCGATTTGAAAATTCCCAGGGAAGCACTTAGATTGGCCCGGTGTGTGTCACATGTGCACACGTTGAACAGTCTTTACGGCTCAGAGAGTAAGAGGCTATGACCAGCCCGGCTCTGGGTCATGTGCTTGCCTGTGAGAGAGAATGGGCGTGAGTTCACAATGCTATGATTGGCAGCCCGCATTAGAGTCACTGGGCTGAAGTTAGAGGAATCGGCTCCTGAGTAGAATATGGCCCCTTTTTCTTGAAGAATAGGGATGAAACACGGAGTGGACAAAAATTATAGTTGCCCGTGACAGGCATCAGCTCTACCCATGAATTCTCAAATCCCTCAAAGTAGTGTTGCATTACAGAACATCAACAACAAACCACACCAAGCCTCATTTATTCTATAGATTATGCCAGAAGAGACTGATATTTTGTGTTAAGGACATCATTTTCAACATCCGTCATGACTATTCATTGCATGTGCAGCCCTGCTGATGAATAAAGGCTTTTGTCTGAGAGGAACTAGCATTTTATTTTGAATTTTTGAAACAGGTAGCTGTAGACAATAACTGTTTGCTTGAGCCCAGCTGCTCACTTTGCATTCTCAAATAAGTCAGCCTGCACAGCAGGCTCCAAGACTCTTCTCTTTGTCTGCCTTTGGAAAGGGAGGAAGTGTGTTCAGGCAGCTCTTTATCCCTGTCTTGTATTATGTCCTTCCCAATGCAAAGCTGTCAATTTTAGTGGACGATCATTCTTTGGCTCAGAGAATTCAGGTATAATAACAATCACTTATAAAGAATTTATCGTTCTAAGATCATCTAGCCCTCATAGCGAGCCCATAAGTAGACCCTATGTTTAATTCTCATTTTATAGGAGGAAACTGAGGTTCAAAGAGGCAAGTGACTTACACAAAGTCACATAGCTAAGAACGTAGCAAGGGTAGGACTCGATCAAGTTGATCTATCTTTGTAGTCCATGGTCCCAGCCACTAAGCTGATCCTCACAGTTGTTGGGAACAGTTAGCCTAATCCATTATGTTTTCTCCTGCCTTTTCTTGGCTCACGTAGCTGGAGTGCCTACCGTGAGAGAGGGCTGTGCAGGCAGGGCGAGGCTCAGAGCCAGGGTATACTACGGAGTGAGGGAGCATTTGATCAGACGCTGTAATTCACATTTTGCCTTCTCCCTGTGACATCAGCCCCATGCAGTTCATCTCACAGGATGATGGATGAGGCTGGCAATAAATCTCTTCCGTGCCCTAGAATCAATGACTGTTAAAGGTGTGCAGGAATGGAAAGTTCAATTAAGCCAAGCCCCTCATTTTACCAATAAGAAAATTGTTACGCAGAGCAAAATAACACCCTTGGACCCAATCCATTGCTCTTAGTATTTTCTGCCATCCAGACCCTGTAACACTGGTACCAGGCTCTGAGTAACTGACATGCAGAGATGGGACTTGGGCCAGTTTTGTTTAGCCTCAGACCGATTTCCGACATGTCCCAGGGCTTAGTCTCAGTGTTTCCCTTTGGGACATGGGGGAGTGCCGATTTGTAGCACCCCATTCCCTCTGAATTATGAACCAATTGAAAAATAGACACAGGAGTTTCAAGAAGGATCAAAATACAGGCTGCGTGTGCTGGGTAAAGCAGGCTCCCTCTGGGGAGACAGTGAGCTTCGCAACGCTTTCCACTAACTCTGGCCAACTTTCAGATAAAAACTTCAGAGTCTTTTATGGACGAAGGTTTTCCTAGGTACAGGTCACAACACAGGCAAAGGCCGGGAAGGGTGACGTCAGGGACCTGCCCGAAGCTGTGGCTGGACTTCCCTGGGGCTGAGATCTGAGCCCAGGGCCCAGGACATGAACCTCTGCCAGGACAGAACACCCTTGGTTTTACTTTCCCGTCCCCAGTCCATTTAGTTCCAGGTTTTCCAATTCATGTTTCAAGGTAGCCTATCTGTGCTGAACCAATCAGGGACCCCAGCTTTCCAAGGGGACCTGGTGTCAGCCCCAGGGAGGGCTTTCCTTGCCCGGCCCGCAGCACCTCCAAGCCTGAGACCTGCATTGGGCCCTGCAAATCCATACAGAGGAAGGCGGAGATTGGTTTTGAATTTCAGGGGTGCGCTGTGCCCTGTCCTTGGTTACCCTGTGAGGTCTGAGAGTTCAGGCAACACAATGCAGCAGTAAGCTGGTGACCCACTTTGCTGGAGGGAGGGTTCCACAAGCCTCTCCCATGCAATGGCTGCGAGTGATTCAGAGCTGAGGTTCTGATCGGCGCCCAGCGCCCCTGGATTCCTGGTGCTGACGGAACCCATCTCTTATAAACCACCCTCTGTGACCAGCGGGGTATTCAGTGAGCACAGCCACAGCCCTTCCGACTCTTAGCGGCTGCAATGAGCCATTGAAATGCCGAACAAGCGAAACCTAAATTCAGCCCAGATAGAACCCAGAGAGTCCGCTCAGCACTTACGCTGAGATTTCATGCCAGGGGGAGTGGCTGCCGTTACGTTCATCCTGCTGAGTTTATCTGGAATTAAGTCTTCATATACTTCTCTCCTGCCAAGGTCAAGTTCAGTGACAGTGGGGCGTGTTGGAGACTAGCGGTGAAGAAGTGCTGTAAAATAATATGATATAGAATGTCAACCCTAATAGAAAAATAAAAAGAAATTAAAAGGAATACTGTAAAATAGTACATAAATCCCAAGAACTCGTTTCAGTTTATTAAACAAAGATGACATTTTATTGTGGCACGGGAAATTTCATCCTCCCTTTTCACACATCATTAGCCTCCTCCTGCCGATGTGGGGAGAGGATTCTTTCCCGAGATAATGACAGCCAGCGTTTCTGGAAGGCTTCTCCCATCCTAGACAGTGGCTCAGCACTCTCCACGCACTCCCGGCTTAACCCTTGATCAGCCGTGAGCAGCGAGGGCTGATTATCACTGTCGTGCAGGAGAGGAAGTGGGGGACCAGAGAGGATGGGTCCGCTGTCCTGGGGCACATCCTCCCCAGGACTTTTCCACCCAGGCTACTATTGGCCTAAAGCCCATGGTTTTCCCTGCAACCTGCACATCAGGATGTGCCGAGCAGGGGCGTGCGTGTGCTGGGTTCAGAGAGAACCAGGCAGAGTCTGCGCTCGGACTGCACAGTCTAGCGGGGTGGGCAGACGTGGGAATGCACCGTCTCCCCACAGTGTGTTGCACTCTGTGACAGGGAAAAGCACAGCGTGTCAAGCGGGGTGCTCAGGCAGTTTGAAAGGGCAGATGGGAAGGAGGTTGCTGAAGAGGCAAGAATGGGCATGACGAGCTAAGGCACCTGCGTACCCAGCCGTGCAGGAGGAGGCTTGGGGACCAGCAAGGGCTCGGTGAGCAGGGAGTGACGGACCCTCAAGACATGTAGGCAGGGGCAGGAAGAAGGGGGCCTGGGAAGTGACCGGCCTACAGTCCCCTTTACTTACTCGTAGGTAGGAAAGTCTTCCATGTCTGTTCAGTCGATTTCCTGCCTGGTCCAGTCTATTTAGCCGCCGACCCTGATATGTCATTCTTTGTCCTATGAGTCATTCATCTAGTTCCAGTGGGGAAAGCAGGTTAGAAAACTGTGACTTCAGGTCAGGGACAGTGGGCTCTCTGGGTGTTGGAATTTCTCCGAATTGACCCTGAGCAGGTTATTCCTGTAGTGGTGCAGGGTGAGAGAGAACCATCCAGAGGGAGTTAGGAACAACAGAGGTTCAGGCATATGTTCACTCATTTATTTGTGTGATCTCAGGGCCAGGCTGAAGGCAAGAAACGTGACAGATGTTATTATGTGCAATGCTCCCCAGGCCTCCGGGAAGCCAGTGTCGTTAGACTCACTTAACCCACGGGGACCTGGTACTCAGGGAGCATCGGGCACCTGCTTTCTTGGGGGGAGTCCCAGCCTCCTCTGCATCTCTGACACCCGTGGCCTCCTCACCACACCAGAGCACAAAGACATCAGCAGTTTCTGGCACCAAGCACATAGCTGTAATAATCAGACACCCTCTTTAGAAACACTAAATTATCTTGGTCCAGTGCAGAGCTGATTCGACAACCCACATTCATTCACTCGTGCGATTATTCCACAAGTGCATGGTGCGCCTACTGTGTGACAAGCCCTGTGAGGGTGATAGAGAGGAAGCCACTGAGCCAAGTATGTTGATGTGTGAAAACACACAGTTTGGCTTCTCTCTGGTGTGCGCTGCACCGGAAGGACTTCATCCCTCATGCCTGCAGGGCTGAGAAATAGAAGGAAGAAATTCACATTTATAGAGCACCTACTATGTGCCAGGCTCTATGCCAGATCCTGACCAGTATCATCTCACAGCGATCAGGTGAAGCAGGAATGCTTCTCCCTATTTTCAGGATGAGGTAACTGAGGCTCACAGATGTGCCCAGGCTCACTGATGTGCCCGGGGTCATCCAGATGCTAGAGGGTAGAGCTGGACATCAAGTCAAGGTGCAGCTGGGTTTGTACCAGGACAACTTTATGTTGGACTTATTAACTGGTTTTTTTTTTCTGTGCCAAGAACACTTTGGGCAGTAGGATGGCATCCAGGGACCCTTTCTCCGAGTCCCAATTTTGAATCCATAAATAAAGTGCATGCAGTTACAAAAAAAACAAACTGGCTGCAGTGGACCCTTGAATAACACAGGGGTTGGAGGACTGACCCTCACGGTCAAAAATCCATGACCATGAATTTGGACTCCCCAAAAATGTAACTACAGTCATCCCTGGTATTGGTTCCAGGACCCCCACGGACACCCAAATCCACAGAGTCAAGTTTCTTACGAAATGGCAAAGATGAACGCCTACGGTTAGCCCACTGTATCTGTGGATTCTGAAGTGCAGATCAACAATACTGTTTTGATCCTCAGTGTGTTGAATCTGTAGATGTGAAACCAGGGGAATACAGAGGGCCAGCTCTATGTTTATTCTTAAAAATCCACTCTAAGTGAATCTGCACGGCTAAACCCAAGTCGTTCAAGGGTCAACACTATATGGAAACATAGCCATCAAAATATTTAAACATTTGAGATGAGGTCATGTACATGCTTCTCTGTCACAAATCGGGTGATAAGACCTGGTGGCATGCTACCGTAACTTTGGAGCTGCGACAAGCACGGCCAGGCCTGGAGATAACAGGATATAAAATGACCTGTGACATTTCTGTTGCGGAAAGTCACAGCATATGACAGGGGCATTCAGGATATGACTGGGGCTTATGACCTACAATCGCAACATAGAAAGATGTGCTCAATTTCAGTTAGATGTTAGCGAATTAAAGGAACTGTGCTTTCCCCATCCAAGCTCATGGACACCCCCTAAATTCTATATATGGAAGAGTGTCTGCAACTTAGGGTATCAGCTTCATGCAATTTATGTTACTTAACTCTGCTCAAGGGACATTCGATCAGGCTTTTCCTGTGCAAGCCGCTGTCTGGGCACGCGGAGTGGTCCAAAGGAAGTTACTGAGGCTGAGGAGATGGGAATGGAGAAGGGATGAGGCTTTGCTGCGTGTGATGACGAGCGGCATTTTTCGTCGAAGCTCCACGTACGCAGAAGGGGAACGGGAGTGCAGAGGAGTTAAGAAATGTGCCCCAGGTGTCATAGCTAGTACATTGCCGAGCTCGGTCCGAACCCAGCCCCGCCCAAGCCTCTCCACCAGGCGTGGCGTGGAGGGCGCCCGCCCCACTCGTGCGTGGAGGAGCGTGTGTGAGTCTTTATGGAGAGGGACGGGGAGTTCCGAAAGCCTGCACTCAAGGAGGAAAATTGTTCACTTTTGCTTATTTTGTAGCCAAAAGCTGGGTCTCTTGGATCGGGTTCGCCTTTCTAATCCTCGTGGTAGCAATACTAAAGGAAAGCTATTTACCCCTCTGAATGTAGATGCCATAGAAGAAAGTCCTTCTAAAGAACCAAAGCCTGTTGGCTTAAACAATAAAGAGCGTTTCCGCACCGCCTTCCGCATGAAAGCCTACGCTTTCTGGCAGAGTTCCGAAGGTAAGGCCTTCCTCCTCGCTGCCCGAGACCTCCCCCTGCCTCTCCCTGGCCCCCTCCCTTGCTCCTTCCCTCCCCCATCAAAGGACCCTCCAGTCTGCAAAGTAGCCCATTCCCTACCCTCCCTGAACCAACTTCTCATCCCATTTATGTCCCTGGGCTAGAGGCATCTGCAACCTGTGCCCCCAGCCCCCAGGGCAGGGGACTCCCAGGTAGCTGTTCTCCTGGCTGTAATCACCCCATGCGTCTGTGTAGACCAGCAGGGAGTTTAGGGGCCTCTCACCCAGGTCCCTAGGGTAGCAGTGATGGGTGTGTTGGCATGGAGGGCCCCCTGAAGGAGGGGGAGGGCCGGGTGCAGAGTGATCTAGAGACCAGGCAGCCTTGGCACTCCTCGGGGGGGGGGGGGCAGGTGGATCAGAAGAGCACCTTCGAGGGCTGTAGGAGCCACGCAGGGCTCAGAAAGTGGCCTCCCCAAGGTCACAGGACTAATGACTGAAAGAGCAAGAATCTGAACTAGTGCCACATGTGTGCCCTTGCCACCTCCAAGTCCTGTGGAACCCCGGGACTCACGTCGCCTCTCTCCAAGTCCTCTCCCCCAACCAGCAGTCCTGAACTGCAGGCCCCTCGGACTGGGACTTCTGGGTCCTAGAAGGTGGGATGCTGAGAGAGACTGAGTGATGTCACCACTGGAGAATCTGCAGGGTCCCTGGAGGTGGGAGCGAGGGCCCTGGAGGCTAAGCGTGGAAGGCTGTGACTGAACCAGGCCCCTGTGCCTTTCCAAGCGCTGTGGCCTGCCATTTGATACGTGTGTCTCCCTCCCAGATGCCGGGACGGGCGATCCCGCGGCAGAAGACAGGGACTACGGGAGTGACTTCCTTGTCGAAGACATGATCCCCACCCTGAAGGTTGTCATCCGAGCTGTGAGGTAAGGCCACTCCACTTCCTCCCTGCTGTTGGGCTACCCAGCCAGGCCCCAGCTCAGCGCCACAGGACACGGCTTTGTGACATGCTCTTGGCTTTGGGAAAGTGGTCAGGGAGCCTCTGCGGCAGATGTAAGAGTATGTCAGTACCCCACGGGGGCCACTGCCTAGAGAGAAGTGATTTGCACATCCCCGAGTCATCTTGGGTGACTCATTGCTCGCCTGTTGACAAAGTGCCCCCATGGGCTCCTGACACTATTCCCAGCTGTCATGCTCCTGTCTGGCTTTGGCCACTGTTTATTGTAAAGGATGTTGGGGGGTTGGCTATCATGACGTGGAGGTTTCTTCCTGGATAGGCCTCTTACTCAAAATAGCTTTTCTTCTGTTTTCACCCACCTAGTTCTTTTTAATTAGAATTTTTGACAAGGTAACCAATAATAGGATTTTTTTTTATCTGTGTCAGACGAGACAATAATCCGCTCTGCCTATATCTGTTTTGCTTTAGAATTCTATAAGAAAATAAAAACATGCTGTTTCTGAAAGAAAACTTTGATCAGAATATGGGCTTGTAAAACCACACAATGGTGGCAGTGAACTTAGAAACTGCATTGTTTTTCCAAGAACTAGCTGTGATATTTTCAGCAAGGTTCCCAGTCCAGTCGGTCAGGGAAACACAGGAGCGTTATAATCTGTGGGCCTCGACAAAGCCATTGACTTGCTTCCTCATGACACTATCATGCACAATGTGACAGAGATAATGGCTGGATGAAACAGGACTGCCAGGCTTGGTCTCCGGTTGAATGACCTCGTTCAGCAAGACCCGTGGGTGAACGTGTGTCACCCTGGAGGGGGTCTGTCCCTCTGCTGGGGTGCTCCGTGGTCTGGCTTCTGCTCTACCCTTTTTAACATTTCCAGTGATGTCTTAGTTTGGGACAGGCAAACTTTTTCCGTAAAGAATCGGGTAATAAATATTTTCGGCTTTGTGGTATGTATTCAACCCTGACTTTGCAGCACCGTAGACAGTACAGAAGTGATTGGCTGTGGCTGTGTTTCAACGTTACTTTACTCTCAGACTCAGGCAGGGGGCCAGGCCCGGCCTTTGAGGCGTGGTTCTGACACCTGCCTTAGATGGAGTTATGCAAAAGGCAGGCTCATAAAATGGCACAAGGTTAGGAAGGAGGGCAAGTTAATTGGATTGTTTAATCAATATGTCAAAGAGGTTTTACAGGCTATGACAGACAAAATGCACTTTGAATGCCCCATCAATAAAGGCCCATGCAAGCACTAGATGGAGGGGGGTGGGGGATTGGGGTCGGTGGTGGTTCCTAGCGCCGACCTGGGGTTAGGGGTTTAGTTGACACCGTCTCAGTGGGAGTCGAGCTCAGGATGGGGTTGTCAAGGAGCAGTAGCCACCTGGCGTGACGTTATTGGTTCCCGGGAAGGTGGAGGTGAGGGTTTGCCCTCTATGAGTTCTGAGTGTCCCCTGAGAAAACTTGGGGAACAGAAGCTAGTTTCTCTTTTTTATGAAGAGCCTACAAGCCAAAGCATCAAGGAGGCCATTCAGGAAGAGAGATGTCACCTCTCCTCACATGGTCAGCAGGCAGCGTGGCACCGTGATTCCACGCTCGGCCTTGTCAGCATGCAGCCCAGGGTATGAGGACAGCTCTGACGTGATGAGCAAATGGCCCCGAGCAGATGCTGAAGCTCTCGGGGTGATGGTTTCATGGTCCACAAATCGATCTATTAGCAGATTTTTCATTAAATACTTAGCTCAGTGTCGGTAATGAATCCTCAGTAAATGTTAACCTTTAGGGTTGCTGTGATTTTGTTCTTATGCAAATGATTGAAGGGAGGCGGTCGCGGAGGCGTGGTTCTAACCAGCCTGTTCTGTGTGGTTTGAAAGGCTGGAGCAGGACCAGGAATTGGAATTTCAGGTCCTTTTCTCTTTGATTCTTTTCTCCCCCACCGCCCCCGAGTTGGCTAGTCCTTGCTTATCGTTTCCTTCAGTCTCTACGCATGCCACACAACTGTCTCTATTTCACCTTACAGAATTTTACAATTCCGTCTCTATAAAAAAAAATTCAAGGAGACCTTGAGGCCTTACGACGTGAAGGATGTGATTGAGCAGTATTCCGCAGGGCACCTCGACATGCTTTCCAGAATAAAGTACCTTCAAACGAGGTAAGGCAGTCGCATCCAGAAGGGCTGTGCTTTCCCGACTGCTAAGGAATCAATCGCTGACCTTGAGAATGGAGGGTGAAAGACATATCGGAAGAATCCAAAGTGCAGGGGAGAAATTTTAAGAAAAGATATGTCCATCAAACATTGTGGATGTCAGAGCCAATCAGCTCCAGATCAAACAGGCTGGAAGAAAGCTCTGTGACATTGTCAGGCCAAGGTCGACACCCTGATGAGGCCTCATGGCAAGAAAGCATATGTCCAACTGGCCCCTGACTAGGATGCTTTGAATGTTGCCAGCAAAATAGGAATCATCTAAATGGAGTCCAGCTGGCTCATTCTAAATATAAATTTTTCAACGTATTGAAAAAATGAGCATCAGGTGTTATTTCTAATAGCAAAAATACGAAAACAGAATAAATACCCAACCAATTGCCACCATTTTTCTTGACCACCCGGGGCCTCTACCTTCGTGTGTCTAATCCCTTATAATTCCATAAGGTAGTGTGTTACAGCTGCCATTTTACCAATGATGAAACCAAAGCTCAAAGGGCAAAGGACTTACCCAAAATTACCCAGGTAGTAGGTGGCAGAAATGGAATGTTCGAACCAGGTTTGACTGGTTGCAAAGCTTCTATCCTCTCTAACAGCGTACCTCCTCAGTTATACAGTAATGGTCAAGGAAAGAACAGCATCTGCTCTCATTTAAATTAGGTAGCCATTAAATGACGTTAACAAAATATAGAGAGAGGTGAAAAAATTTTATGATCTGTGAATATGTCCACAATATAATTACTGACAATACACTGACATAGATATAAATACTTGTACATATGTACATGTAGGATTATATTTATATAAAGTATATATAAATTATATATTTATATATCATTATACACACACACACACACACACACTCTGCCTTGATCTTGTGAGGATATTAAGTCATATATATGTACAATATGATCACAAGTACATACACACATGCATTTACTCAGAAATGCACACAACATGTACACTCTTCCATCAGGGGCCTAGAGGAAGGAGTAGGATGGCCCCCAAAGGATTCCCGTGGCTATACAGGAGCTGATGGGTCCATTTGTGATTTTTTTCCTACTTCTTAGATTTATTGACTCTTTAATGAATTGTGACATCTTTTTTAAAAAGGAAAATCATTTAAAAAATATAGGAAAATATGCTGCCAGGAGTCATAGAACCGATGTTAAGAAAACAAAGGCCTCCTTGAAGCTCATGCTCTGAAATTTCCAGTGAAGACGAGTCAGGTCCTCTCTGGACCTCAGTCTCTTCATCTGAATAATATTTCCTCACTGGGGTGTCCCGCAGAGTTACCAGGACCTTCACATTTGACGAGTTGGAAGTTAGCGATGCTGTCGGGTTGGAGGGAAGCTTATTTGTGACCTTGCTTTATCTCTAACTGGAAGATCAGCTGTGACCGCCTAGCATAGAGGGGGGCACACAGTTGACACTTAGTGTCTACTTAACCAATGGGCATGTGGACAAGCTCTGAGCCTAACATGCTGTTACTTCTGCAAATATGGCTCTCTGAGAGACCAGAGGAACCTGACGTCTGGGACATGCCTACTCCAAGATACAGGCTCACCTGAATGTCAAGTGGACCTTTAAGATTTTTGATCTTTATCTCGCCAATGTGTCCCCATGCGTCATGGCAGAAGGCTGACTGCCTGGCGGATGATTGCATGGCCCCAGCGACCCTGGTAGTGGAGGAGGCCAGGGAGAGAGGGAGGGTGACCCAGTCCCCGGTGCTGTCAGGAGAGAACAGCTGGGCTTGCGGACACCGAGTGGCCGTGGCTACCTCTGGGTGCGCGTCTTCGTGGTCCTGGGCCTGTGACGAGCCTGCAGGGCTGCTCCCATATCCCGGCCCTGCTCAGCAATGCAGTGCGTGGGGGCATTTGTCTCTTGTTGCGTTGGGAGCTGCGTGGGTGGGGAGCTGGGGCCCCAGCAGCAGAGGAGCAGGGTGTGGCGCCAGGGTCTGAGCTTCGCCCCCGGGGCCAGGGCAGCCTGCGGGCAGCAGAGACCTGCCGGGCTGAGACCCAGGAGCAGGGTTTAGCGGGAAGCACTGCCTGGCTGGGTGTTTGGGGAGACATAAAGGAACTGGAGGACCAGATGGGCTCGCCACACACATGACGTTTCCTATAAATAATAGGGAGGCGCACCCTCTCCCTGTCTCAGTGGCTTGGCTGTCTCCCTCTCCCCTCAGCACCACCAGGCCAAAAATAAGGAAAATGTGTTTTTCCTTTCTCTCTTTGTTTTTCTCTCTGTCCCCTCCCCCTGTTGTCTCTTTAATTCTATATTCCAACTCCGTCCCTGACTGAAGAGGCATCCGAATGAATTGCTTTCCTCTCCGTGCGTGTGAACCTCTTTGTCATTTAATCCCCCTCACTGTGTGCTCTCTTCCAGAATAGATATGATTTTCACCCCTGGACCGCCATCCACTCCAAAACATAAGAAGTCTCAGAAAGGGACAGCGTTCACCTACCCGTCCCAGCAGTCTCCCAGGTGGGGTCTGTGGACATTGACGAGCAGGCCGTGCGGGGCCACAGCCCGTGGGGCGTCCCCGCCCCCAAGGCTCCATGGTTCCTCTATGGCGGGGTGAGGGTGCCAGTCTCCCACATAAAATGGAGAGAAAGAGTTGGAAGGTTCTTCTGATTTGTGGCTGTTTGAAAGGTTTCTGTGCAAGCGGCTTCCTGCTCCTCTACCCAGACCATGTGGGAGACACATTTTTTGTGGTTATTGAAAATGAAAATAATGGTTTCTCTTTCCTAAAATGAGAGGGTATTTATGGGTTTTATTGGAGCCAAAAGAATACTTCCTGTTAGCAGAGCCCCAGGCATTCCTGGTCAGCTGTTTTGGCTTTTCCTGCATCATCACCCTGGGGGGCGGGCTGCCATCCCTGAACAAAGCTGCAGAAGGGAGCCAGCTCTCAGGGCCCCCACACCGTTGTGCCGGGCAGAGCTCCGAGCTCAGTCCCTCCGCAGAGCAGCTCTGCTCTACCCAGTTTGAAGGGTTTCCTTTTATAGGCCCTGAGGAACAAGGAGCATCTTTCAGAAAGCCCACCGCCTGAATTTACGCTTCTTGTTTGTTAAATGTATTGGGGTGACATTGGTTAATAACATTATATGTTCCAAGTGGACAAGTGCCTGGGATACATTATCTGCATATTGCATTGTGTGCTCGCCACCCAAAGTCTGGTCTCCCTCCATCACCAGAAGTTTGACCCCCTTCACCTTCTTCATCCTCCCTACCCCCTTCCCTTCTGGGAACCGCCATACTGTCATTTGTATCTATGAGTTCATTTATTTGTTGCTTTCTATTTTATATCCAACATATGAGTGAAATCATATAGTTCTTGTCCTTTTCCATTTGATTTATTTCACGTAAGACCCACATTGTCACAAATGGTAGCGTTTCATCCTTTCTTGTGGCTGAGTAGTATTCCATCATATACACGTGCCAATCTTTATCTAATCACCTATCAAAGGACACTTAGGTTGTTTCCGTGCTTTGGCGACCATGTTCAGTTGAACATGCACATCTTTATTCCCAGATGTCATCAAAGCAGATAACATAAATGAACAAAGCGAGTAAGGCATAAGAAATATGAGGCACCCTGTAATAATAAGGCTCCTTAGTATAAAGAAACCAAGAGTGTATCCATGACGATAAAGTCGCCTGACCTTCAGCATCAGTCTTGGGGATGGGATTGGAAGGGGTGGACTGTGGGGACCTAGGGGACCCGTCCCCCATCCAAAGGAGGTAACTGTCACTCTGTTCTGTTGCTAATTTTAGGAAGGGAGATCCTGTTTCCAGATAGTCTGTTTTTAGAGAAAAAACTGATTATCCAAATATTAAGTTAAATACCCTTTTTTGAGATGGCTTAAGTGTTCTAGAACCCTGTGTGGGATACAAAAAACACTGGTGGGCTGATATAGCACAATTCAAGGTTGCCCACCCAAAGAGAGACGGGGGACTGAGCAGGTGCCGGTAGCCTGGGAGAGAAAATCAGCTTCCTAGACAGTGGTTCATGTGAGCGGCTTTGACTCCCCCGAAAGCGTTCTTCTACACAGAGCCTAACAACACTGAATCCAACTGGCATGCAGACAGAGTGCACTTGAGCATCTCCGAAGAGCAAACGCAGCGTACGTTCTAGCCCCATTCCTTCCAACACCATCTTTCCCATCATTTTCTAGATTCAGCCTCTGATTTCCACTCTTAACAAAATGGAACCAATGAAATATTGATCCCCCCGCACTGTATAGTATTTCAGAGATCAGACCACCCCTTCCCCACGGCCCCGCACACTCTCGAGCAGCAGTCTGAGACCGAAGGCAAAAGAAAGTCGCTTCAAGGAATCAGACCCTCTCAGCACAGTTAGGGGCTCCATTCACTTTCCTGACTCACGTGTGCCTCCAGAATGGGGCGGGGCATAAGGGTGGGCGTGGGAATACTCTCTCCAGGGACCATGGCCTGCCAAGCTGAAATGGCCTTATGAAGCAAAAGGAGGTGTAACAATCTTACAGGGCTGTTGGCTCTTTCCTAGGAACGAACCGTATGTGGCCAGAGCGTCCACGTCAGAAACTGAAGACCAAAGCATGATGGGAAAGTTTGTGAGAGTCGAGAGACAGGTAAGGCTTTCCTTTCCCTCACTAAGGAACCAGTATACAAGATTGTTGTCCATTTGTCATTTCCCCCCGTAAGTCAGTAACATACATGAGTACCTGCCATTTCCAAAAAGGATGTGGAAACTCAGTCCCTGGTTTCATATTTACTGGCTGGGTGATCACATGCACATGAATGAATGGTCCTGAGCCTCCGTGTCCTCATCTGTAAAATGGGGACTTTAATACCTCATAAGGCTGCTGTGAAAATTAAATGAGTTGGCGTACGTGAATTACCTAGAGTGGTAGCTGGCATACGGTCAGCACTCAACCGGTGGCCGCTGCTATTCTCATGTGCTTCACAGTGTCACCCTAAGAAAAGGCTCATTCCCTTCCCCCGCTCATTCCCTGGCTCCTTTAGCCCAGGGTGCCAGGTTTTACACTGGGTAAGTGGGACCGTCGATTTCCATTAGGATGCCTTTCTTCTATTCATAACCCCAAACTGGGTCTGTGCAGGCAAGGTCAGAGAAAAATTCTATGCTTATTCTTTTGGGGCCTATCAAGAATATCAGTTTTCATTTTAAAATTTTAATTTATGTCTAAAAACAATCTCAGCTCTTCCATTTACTCGCTCTGTGACTTTTGAGAAGTTAGTTCCTCTGTTAGTGCCTCTGTTTCCTCACCTGCAAAATAGAGATCATAACAGTATTCACTTCATGGGGGTGTAAAAATATTAAATGAGGTAATGCCTTTAACGTGCATAGAGAAGAGTTGCAGTCTTGCCAGCTGCTGTGACAGCATCGGTTACTCTTAGGCTTGGGTACCACTCAGCCATTACCTAATTCTGTTAGAGGGGATGCAGCCCCTGCCCGCGGTGCTTGCAGGTGAGCATGACTTGCTGGGGAGAGAACGTTTCTCTCTCACACACGCACGAACTCACAGAGATTAAATACATTCTCAAATTGGTAGGGGAGGAGCAGACGGAGCTTACCTCCCCGTGGGTTCCACCAGCCCCCAAGGCCCTAGGCGAGGCCCCTAGTTCTGAGAGCTTAGTGCTTGCTCACCACCGCCCCGCACCTTTGGGGCTTCCGTCACCACATAGGAGCGACAGACAACAACAATCCCCATGCTTCTGCCTAAGGGAACGTTTGCAGATCAAGGACTCCCGCTCCGTAACCCACACAGCCAGCTGCAAGGCCACGTCCTCCTCTTCAGGGACAGAGAAGCCCTGTAACGCTTGTCCTCGAATTCTCTCCCTGCATCCAGCCTTTGCTCAGGTGGCCTAGGTTGTTTCTAGATTTGCACTAAGACATGCTCAGGCCTTGAAATGAGGAGTCACAGAATAATTAGCTGTTGTTAGTATGAGGACTGGCAAGGACACTTCTCCTTTCTGAAAATTGAGTGCTGTTGTATTTTCTCCTAGCCAATGACAAGCTCCCGCCCCCAGAGAAAGCAGTGATTCCTGTTTCCTTATATTTTCCAGGTTCATGACATGGGGAAGAAACTGGATTTCCTTGTGGACATGCACATGCAACACATGGAGCGGTTGCAGGTGCATGCCACGGACTACGACCCAACCAAGGGAACCCCCTCACCAGCCGAGGTGGAGAAGAAAGGGGACCACAGGGATTCTGACTTGAAAACCATCATTTGCAACTATTCCGAGACAGGCACTCCCGATCCCCCCTACAGCTTCCACCAGGTGCCCATCGACAGAGTCAGCCCCTATGGGTTCCTCGCCCACGACCCCGCGAACCTGCCCCGAGGGGGGCCCAGTTCTGGGAAGGTTCAAGCAACCCTCTGCTCCTCGACAACACCGTCTATGGAAAGGCCCACCGTCCTGCCCATCTTGACTCTTCTCGACTCCCGGGGGAGCCGCCCGTCTCCAGCTGACCCCTGCTCGGACCGGGTCTCCCCGCGGCAGAGACGCAGCATCACACGGGACAGTGACACACCCCTGTCCCTGATGTCGGTCAACCACGAGGAGCTGGAACGGTCTCCAAGTGGCTTCAGCATCTCCCAAGACAGAGATGACGTGTTCGGCCCCAGCGGGGGCTCGAGCTGGATGAGGGAGAAGCGGTACCTCGCTGAGGGTGAGACAGACACCGACACAGACCCCTTCACTCCCAGCGGCTCCATGCCGCTGTCGTCCACGGGGGACGGGATTTCTGATTCCATATGGACCCCTTCCAACAAGCCCATGTAAAGGGGGTCATGGGCTGACTCCTCCTTGTAATGTAGACAGACTTTGTATAGCTCACTTGCTCTCACACCCGACACCTACCAGTGAGGTCACCGGTGGCTGCATCAAACACATGCATGTGCGTGATGCCCCCTCCCAGGCAGGGGCTTGTCATGGCCTGTCCCCCATGTCACCACAGTGAAGCCGCTTCCTTTGACGCATGGTTTGCATGACTTTACACTATATAAATGGTACTGCTAACCTCTTCTAGGATACACACTTATCTGCCGTTCTTACTCTTACTCCTGATTGGACCAGTACAGGGAGAAATTAGTGATGAGCTGTTCTGTTTGTCTGTTTGGTTGGCGGGTTTGGGTTTTGGTTAGGTAAGCAAGGAAGTAATTTAAGTTATTTCTCCGATCACCCCATCTTTCTGTAACACGTGCCGATGATTGATTAACTGTTTTACAAAGTAGGCAGATAATGTTCTCAACAGAAACACATTGCGTACCAATGAGGTTGCATCCTGAGCTCAATTTTCAGGAAAGGAGTGAGATGTTCTCACACCTCCAAAACCAACAATCTTAAAAATTATTTTATTAAGGCAAAAACTGGCAAAAACCTTCCTCCAAAACCAACAATCTTAAAAATTATTTTATTACGGCAAAAACTGGCAAAAACTTTCTAAAAGCCCTCAAAAGGACCTCAGTTGGTCTCCCATTGTCTAGTGTCATGCCTCAGTTTCCCCATCTGTAAAAAAAAAGTGGTGGTATTCCCCGTGTAGCATTTCGGATGAGTTATGAATTGGCAGGGAGAAAACACACACACAGAGATTTTACAAGGTCCCAATCCATGTAGCCAAAGATGGTGAAATTTATCAGAAGTGGGGCGCCCCTCTGGGCAGCAGCCGAGTTCAGTGCCTTCAAAAGGAGGTTCCAACTCACATCCTTCCCCATGATATGTAGACAAAAGAGCCATCCAACTAGAAACTGGTGTCAAAGGGCACAGGACTTATTCGGCCCACATCCCTCTTTGTAAAGCTGAGAAACCTTTGGCTCAGGTAAAGTGACATGACCAGGGTCTCTCCATTGTCCCCTGGAGAGCTGGGACTCAAAGCCCAGCCATTTTTCTCACGCCATTACCTCGTCTTCTCTGACCAGACCACTCTGCCCTTTATGCAGCAGGACCCAAAAATTGTGCCAAGACACCTGCACTCTACATCATACAGAAAGCACTTACCATACAACTTATCCAGGAGGAGGGGGTTGTCAGCTTTTATTTGCAAAACGTGCTTCCTGATACGTTGTAATTTGAATCCAGAAGAAAAATAATAATACAAGCAAGCTACAACATTTGTTGATATGCACCTAGGCAAAATTCCCAGAACCATCCATTTTTACTCCTCCAGATCTTTAAACTACACATAACTGTAAGACTAGCTAAAGTGTAAGCACACAGCCTGGAAGACATTGCTCGACGGGGCAAGTTTTGCTACTAAGCACAAGCTTAATTAAGCATAACAAGCTGTGGCCCCTTAGGAGGTGCCGCTACTCTCTGAAACACTTTGATGGAAAATGTTCCTATTAGGTTTGGGCTGAATTAGCTAAATGACTCTTCTGCAGTATGATTGTCACGCCCTTTCCACACATCTGAGCACTGGTTATGGATGGTGACCGTGGTAATCATCAAGATGATTGAAATGGCCTGAAAATAATCTCCATATAAGTGCACCGATGTGCATCCTTAGCCTTGCCGTCCTAGCTGTGGCAGGCACCTGGTTGATGGTTTCATCATTACCGAATGCGGTGGTCTTATATTCTGAGGGAGAGAGGGACCACTTCCTATAAATCAGCAGGGACCGTACAAAAGGCTTAGAACACAGCGATAATAAGGGTTAGTCCCTGACCTTTGGAATTTGCAACCAAAGCCTTGAGTCCCTGGCCAAGGGCAGGCATTATGAGAGGTAAAAAGGGCATTTTACACAGAGTCCCGTGAAGGGATGGGCGTGGACCTTGAAGTCTGAGGTGGGAAATACACAGGAATGATCACACACTTCAGACATGAAATGCCCTCCTGTGGTTTGCCAGTAACTTCCAGCCATCTGAAGGGCAAAGGCCGTGGATCACATGGCCCTCCTCTCAGCTCCCTTCAATATGCCCGAAAGTGCCATCTGGGTTGCAAACCAAAGAAATCCCATGTCCCTTCCCTAGGGCGTGGTTCTTGATTCTGACCTTCCTCAAATCTTTCATCAGAAATGATTGAGCCACCTACCATCCAACATGTTACTATGTTCTTTCTATATAAACAACGATGACAAATGGAGAATGAATCAAACACTCCGCATAGCCACCCGTTATTTTTCCTAACTTACTCATATTCTTGCAGACCCTCCTGGCCTTAGTATCTCACAAACAGATGAGTTCTCTGGGAACTCAGCGGAGTTCTCAGCTGGAAGAGTGAGACATCCCCATCCTCAAGCTAGCAACCGTTACCATGGCCCCCGAGGTCCAGGACTGCCTTAGGTTCTTCTAACAACCTAACAGGATCGGAGCTGGAATTCTTTCCCAAACCACAAGTGGCAGGCTAGCTTCCCTGCTGGGTCCTAAAGCCAGGATGGTAGGGATTGGATCTGCGTTTCTCACCACTATGTCTCTGACATGTAGTATGTCGTCATTATCAGTGCAGACAAAGGCCAAATACATTTTTCATAAATAAGCGATAAGACCCTTAAGAGCCATGTTTTTCCCATCTAAAAATGAAAAAGAAAAAAAAAGATCTCTGGCATATTTTGCTTTGATATCCCCTTTAAAACTATATATATTTTCTTTTCCTGATATTATGATGATAATATTTCATATTAATGCAGTAAATATATATATATGTATATATGTATTCCAGAAAAGCAAACCAAGCCTGTTCCATGTGCCTGCCCCTAGACAACACCACCAACATGGCTGGCATTGATGAAGAAGTTCAAGGTCTAGAATGGAACATAGGTTATGCAGAGAGAAAGTGTGTGCTTCTACAAAGATCTTTTTGTCATACAAAAGAACAGCATGATCTGCTGCAACAATCCAACAGAAGTGGTTAATAACGTGAACGTTATACTACTTCAGATACACCAGTATTTCTGAAGTGTGCCCAGGAAATTGCAGTTTGGGCAGAATACCATGAAATGGTGACAAATTAATTCCAACGTAAAAACTAGAAATTATTTTCTCCAGTGAAACTATGATCTCATTATATGTATTCAGTCTCTGTGTGTCACAATCTGATATAAAGTTTTTAAGAGGTCATATTTTAGGAGGATCAAAGTGAATGAGCTCAGTCTACTTTCTAAGTGGTAGGTGAAAGGGGGTTTTGTTGGACTGAGAAGAAAGTACTTGAGATCAAGTGTGAGTTGTGGCTATCAAAGACCAGCACACAAGGAAACACAAAAAAGGTTTTAAAAAATTGTGAGAGAAAAAGAAAAAAACCCCTACTAAATTGAAAAAGTCCTATTCACTAACTAATGTTTCCGGGAACTGAGAGTTTAGACTTATTAGACATAACACTGATATTATGAAGCTCTGGTTTTCATAAAAACATATCTAGAAAGCCCCAAGGTATCCTATAGTTCAAAATGAGCTACTTGATCGACAGCTATGCATTGTGCCTTGCCTATTTTGGTCAAGGCAGTTCTTGGACACTGTAAATTGAAAGAATAATTAGTTGTAGAAAATCCTAATATAACAGGATCTACTCATAATTTGCCAAGACCATTTTCATAATTCGATGCCACTGCAATGACAATGTAATGAAAACATTTACTTATTCATTTACAAGATTTATTAAGCTGTCTGCAAGGCACTAGGCAATGCACTTGAAGTTCAGACCTAAGAAAACCACAGTTCCTGCCATCAAAAAGCTAGGAATTTGCTGGCTGCAGATATCAGAGGTTCCTTCAAATTATGTCTGCCAAGAATGGCAAGAATCTGATTTCATCACTGAAGACAACTCTATACAGACAGGAATGCTTCCTAGCTTGGAATCATTGGGAGACTGAGCATGGAAGAAACTGAGAGCAAAAATTCTGCATCAAAACAGTAATGACCCCATCAACCCAGGGAAGGTTGAGGGGATTGAATGGGGACTTTGAGTTTGGGTTCAATGCTTTGGACTTGATAGCTCCAGATAAGATGTACAAGAAGAAGATTCTAGAGACCTGGGAAAGTTCCTGGGGGGAAATAATACCGCAGCTCCCTCCCCTTCTCATTCCCTACTGGGACTGAGTTCAGGCAAACAGCTGAGCTTCTTTTCATCTCATCGTGTTGACCAAGAGCAACTTATGGTGTGAGACAAGATACAGTCTCTGTCTCCAGAGAAAGTTGTCACTCTGCCCATGGGGATGTGCTGATCTGATTCCTCTGGGGCAGAGAAGAAATTTATCCATTGCTCCAAAAAGTTGACTGCACTTTGGAAAGTGACACGCCAGGCTTCCCCTAGAAGATGCCATGTAGCTGGTCTTTCTTTTCCATGAATATGCTTCCAAGGCATCTAGAACCACAAGGACTGTCTTTGCTTTCTGAGCCCCAGATATTCTTGGGAATTTCCGCATATCCTTACTAGTCCTTGAATGCTTAGTTATTTTAAGATGAACTTTTTAAAAGACTATAAGTCCTTTCTTTGTATCCAAATCAATCCAATTTTCTTTTGTCTTATGATATTACACTTTTCAAAACTGAGCCAATGGTCCCCTAAACAAGGCAGCAGGTAACAACTCACTGATGCCCAAGGTTAGGACACATCAGGAACTGGGCTATCTTCATGGCTTTAGTGGTTTTGGAAACCAGTCATGGAAGTGACACAGATGTAGGAAGGATATAGAAATGACCTGGATGGAACTTGAGTTTCAGGACATCCAAAAGTGTTGAAATTTTCTGAGCTTTTTTGATTTTTCAATGAGACAATCAAAACACATAAAGCCCCTAGTACAATGACCGCCATATACTGGGGACTGTTAAACATGTTCCTTTTTTTTTTTT